TGTAAGCACATATTAATAAATAATTTTCTATGCTTATAGATTCGGATTGATATTAAAGTTTTTGCTTTGATATTCCAGACTCATGTAATATATGGATATTACTAAATTAAGCTATAACCGATCCAGCAAATTGGGCTTTGGAAATTTTAACTCGTAATTTTTACGAAATCGAATAATTAATATATGGAGTAGAAATATCATTTAGTGAATAAATTTATTATTAAAAGTAATGGTTGAAAAATATACACACTTACTGCTGTGTCCATGCATTAGATATTTTTTGAGCAAAATTTAATTACGAGGTCTGTTTAAAGAACAATTTTGAATATAGATAAGATTATTATTTCAATCATCTAGGTTTCCTTAATTTTTATTTTAGATGTCGTATGGAGTCAATTTAGACTCCTATCTCTTATTTATGCTGACAAGGACGACTCTTTTGTAGAGTTCAGTTAATTTTCGAAATGCCTCATTTAAGAGATATCCAGTTGCCTTAAAAAAATATACACAAAAATCTGTGTTCCAAATAAACAAAAAAATCATAACAAACTAATACTAATTTGAGAAATTGATCTATTTTCACTCAATCGCGTGATCATCCTCAGACTATATATATATCCATTCATCATTATTAGTGTTTTAACCTTTTTAATCTTTTAACGTTTTGTTAGCAATACACCCCTTGTTGCATATCATAGTTCATTTAAATATAAATATATAAAACACGATGCAGGAAATCTGACCTACATTTTCAGATTTATTCTATTACGATAACACATTGTGCGCGCGCTTTTAGCCATTTAATTATTTCGTTTGAGCCGGGAAATGAATTCCCATTGGAATAAAGCTCAACTTTAAGGAGTCGTTAAGAGTAAATCACAGCGCGCGACCGAAGCTTTTTTTTCGCGAATCCGGTATGACAACGGACTTGTAAAGTCTGAAATGGTGTTATAGAAATCGATTTTTTTAAGTATATAGTTCTTAAAACAAGAATTAGAAGTATACTAAAATTAGTAGAAAACTCGTAACATCTAATTAAGTAATGCCTAACGTCAAAAGAAAACGGAGGTTTTACTCTGCATTGTTATTGTCATTCTTATTGTAATAAATATATTAAATTGAAAAATTGATTTATGGAAATTATTAAAATAATAAAAATTAAGAATTGATTATAATAAATTAAAATTTTAAAATTACAATAGTATCTATATGAAACTATAACATATATAAAATTAGAAAATCATTTATTTGTTAAAACCGTAAAATTTTAGTGGTGCATGACATTGTGCCTTAAAGCAAATTTCTGGAACTTTCCGTACCTTAAACATCCGTGAAATGAAATTAATCAACAAAAATTGATCAATGATTAATAACAATTGTTTTAAACATTTTCAAATAATTATTAGAAATCCTACCCAATTTAATATAAGTGCTTATATTTGACCAGTAACTTATATATATATATATATATATATATATATATATATATATATATACATGAAACGTAAACACATAAACAAATACTCAATTTTTTACAACATCAATACGAGTAAAATGTTTTTTTAATCATTCAATGAAACTAATGAGCACGTCTTCCTCTTAATACAATTCGAATATTTGTTATTCTATTTTTGTAAATTTTAAACCATTCTAGTCGGATGCTTCATTTTTTCCAAAAACCACTATTTTTTAACTTTTTGCTCCATATCTTCGAAACGCCTACAGAACTGCCTTTGCCAAAAATTAATCAGCATGTCTCCTCGTCAATATCAGTCGAATCAGTTAATGCGTGCTCCCAAAATCGTGGGCAAAAAATTGTATCAGAACATTCATACAAACACATATACCCATTTTTTTCTAATGTATGCCTCAATGTTCAGTAATAAATGCAAGAGTTTGCATTTTAGATTTTTTTTTATCACTAACTTACCGCATTAACTATGGAAATTAACTATTGTATGAAGCATTTAAATAATTTTTTTGTCATTTATATTTTAATATGAATAAGAAAATTTTAAATAAACAATAATAATCTACAATAATATCTAAATACAATTACTGTAATTTTTTCTTTAATCAATACCATTAATATGTTCATAAAATATGATCTGATATCAATATATTATATATTTAATTTGATCTGATATTATATATTTTATTTTTAAAGAACTTATAATAAGATTGTTGTTTGAAGAACAACACTAATTTAAACATCTTACCATATATAACTTCATATAAGAAAACATTTTATGCAGTTAAATGATATTTTCTGTATTTGACATGATTGATATGAAATTCTTACTTATTTTTTTGACTTTTTTGTTTATGACCAATGGTGTTGATTTTACATTATTAATCAGCAAACCGATATAGAATATTGAGAATATCGTTCATCTAATTTTACCACAACAAAAACCACATAAAATATTGTGAATACCCGCATTCGCTCAGTGAATTTATTCGGGATATTTATATTATTAATTTCCAAACTTCCAATATTCTATTGAATAATGCCCACGCGCGTTATTTCAGAAGTATTTTGGAATTTTATGCATTGTAGTTGCTTTGCTTATTAGAATTCTATATTTAGATGGAAATATATTTACCGTGAATTTTATGTATATTTGATGCAATTATTTTAAATATTTATTTTGCTAGAATATTTTGCTTTATTGTTTAAATTTGTTCGTAAATGTTTTATGTATCGTGAATGTGCATAATTTATGGCTTAATAACAAATATGTTGACAATTTTGTTGTTGTTTTACACCAGGGCTGGCAAATCTTAGAGAATAGAGAAAATAGAGAAAAGTATCTTAGATATTCTGAGATATCCATAAATGAAATCCTATCCCACTTACTTATTTTCGTTGTTATAATTTATTACCAATTTTCGAAAAATTTGTTATATCATTTTGTTATTCGTATACTTGTCGAACAACAGTTAACATTATAGCAATACATTAGACACAGTTATCATCTTCATGAGTCATTCCAAATTTATTCAAGTAACATCGTTTATGTACGGTTACTAAGTTTTTATATCAGTGACTTCCAACCTGTGGGGCGCGCCCCCCTGGGTGGGCGCCATACCGTCCCAAGGGGGGCGCGAAGCTATTTCAAAAATAGTATTTTTAAATGCTGAGTAAGTGTCAAAAACAAATCAACAAATTACTTAAAGTACTTCTAAGAGTGTTTGAGCTCAAAAAAGAAATTGCTATATTTCTTGTGATAACAAAAGAGACGGAGCAATCTTGTTTTAGGACACAAAGTTCCTCGCAAAATTTGCGTATTTAGTTGATATTTTTCAAAGACTTAGCGATTTAAATAAATCAATGCAAGGATCTCAAATTCGTGCTTTTGTTCAGAAAGACAAGATTACGGCTTTTATGAAAAAATTAGAACTGTGTATAGCTAGTATCAAATAACTTTATAACTTTAACATGTTTCCCACTTTTAAAATTACTTGTGTTACTGATGAAGTAGAAGTAAGTAAAGATCTTATTATTATATCAGTCAAATGACTAGTCTACGAAACCAATTTTCGCATTGCTTTATCTAATTACGTCCAAATACGAATGGATTAGAAATCCATTTACCATTGAGAAACATGATGATTTTGGTAATTCAAAAGCGGAGCAGAAAATGATAATTGATTTATCTAGTAATAGCACATTGAAGCAGATGTTTCAGGACGAAAATATTTTGTTAAGTTTTGGTTACCAGTAAAAGACGATTTTGCTACTTTGACAAATAATGCTTTAGAAATTTTATTACCATTTGTGAGATCTTACTTATGTGAAACAGAAAATTCTTATAATAAATAGTTATGTTTGTATGTATATTTTTTATAATTTCAGTTATGTTAAGTATATTAAAATTAAATTGTTAGAAAAATAAGAAGGGGGGGGGGGCGCAATATTTTTTTCATTCGAAAGGGGGGCGCAAGAAAGAAAAGGTTGGAAACCGCTGTTTTATATAATAATAAAAGCGTTGCAAATACTGTTGAAAAATTCAAGTTTAAAGTTCACCCCTTTCTACTCGAATGCCGCCACTCCGGCGGCAAAATACATATTAATTCTGCAATTTGCGAGTGGAAAGGGTTGAAACTTACAAAAAGTTAAATGAAAAAAGGTTTTAACAAGGTAGTTTGAACATTAACGAAGTATAATTTTTAGTCTATAAAACACATTATGGTTATAAATTGTACTCACAATCAGTTATGAAACTAATACGTATTTTCGTCCGGTATCAGTAGTACTAGATTTTTTACAATACGGTATTCCGAAATTACAAAAAATAACATACAAATTTAGCTATCTCAAATACGTTGCGTATATATTTGGTTAAACTTTACTGCATTCAATAATTTGAGATTTTTTTCATTTACTTTTAAAGAATAGTACGTTTATCATGACTATTGCATTTTTTTTTCATTTGATTCATTACTTGATGAGAAAACGTAGTTATTGTTTTGTTTATTAACATAACTCATAAATTTACATTTTTCGTTAATATTTTTACATGTAGATCACTCATTTCCACTAATTTTTTGATTCATAGACTTTATTTTCGTTACAAATGGTTGTAATATGTGTTTGAATTATTTCATTCTAATTTCATTCACTCTTAATGAACTGTACATACATTTGTAATGATAATGGTTGATTATTTCAATTTGATGTATTCAAAATACATGTCACTTTCTATTATCATAACTTACAACTTACATTATTTTTTGTTACTCCTTTGATATAAAGACCACATACATTACCACCAATTTGATCCTCCGTTTTTGTTTCATAATTAGTAGTAGGTAACAATTGTCTGAATGGTTTCCCTGAATGAACTAGCACAACCTCCTTTCAAAACTTCCCAAAACGTTAGACATTTTTCTTCCTCATGGATTTACTATCATAATTTCCCCTGCCAGCCCTGAAACAGTGTACCTAACCTCTCTCTCTGATGGCAAACGCCCGGTGTGTATGGTCTGATCCGCAGATGGGGCCGGAAAGCTCGTCCAGGCAGTGCAGCGGGAGCGAGGAGGGACGCCGTGGACTACAGGACGGGGTACATCAGGTCGCATCTTCGGTCGCCGTCCGGCAGGGTGCGGTGACCGGGACGACCAGAAACCAGAAGCGGTTGCCTCCGCGAAGGCACAGCCATCATTACTCAATAGTCAGAGATCGGGAAAGAGATAGCGCTGATTAAAGTGCTAAAAGACCCGATTGATTAGCAATTTAGCATGCTGGATTTTGGCAGCAGAGCCAGATGAGTAGATTCTGGTATGCTTAAGTTGGTACTGTACTAAGAACTTTGAATTAAAGTGGTCGGTAGATTTGTTACTTTAGCGGTTGAAGATCTTGGCACGTGGGGAAGTGATAGCGCCTGTACTGAAACTCTACTTCAGTATAGTGATTTTATATATTATATATAGGTGCTATCACGACTATACATGTCGAGACCTTTACATGTCAAATATTTGGTTTGATCTCATTAAGAAGCGTTATGACATGTTTTCAACTTTGGCAATGATTTATAGTACATCAAAGTATTATATTAGGTTTCTTTGTGATAGTCGAAAATAAATTTGAAAATAGCGACAGCAAGAGATTATTCATATGGATATAGCTTTCCAATGCATTAAGAACTAAGAACTTAAAAAAAAAACAGCAAATTTGGTGTTATCATGTTTATGCATGTCAAGACATGTCGAATATTTTGTTTCAACTCATTAAGAGGCGTTGTGACATGTTCTCAACTTTGACAATGATTTATAATGCATCAAAGTATTAAACTAGAAATAGCGATACATTTTGGTATTGATATGATGGGTATTGATTTCTAACTCATTGGATCGATACCGTACTAAGAAATTGCAGAAGGCCAGTAGATTTATGACTTTCTTGGTTTAAATTCTTGACACGCATCATTCTAATCCAGTATAAAGATCAATTAGAGGGAAGTCCCGTAACGCCGGACGGCACCTAAAACCGGACACTCTATTTAACACGTATTATTAAAGCGACTATAAATCTTTTTATTTCAAAATACAAGTGAAAGGGACGCGAGGGGCAAACAGGTGCAGGATCACGCGCCAAGTCACCTGTGACGCACACGGCCACGGCGGGAGCAACCCTTTGTTGTTTTAGGCACAAAAATACGGAGTCACCTAAATATTAATGGTAGTAATTTTAGTGTATTTATGCATTTACATTTTAGTGGCATTCAAAAATAAAAGTAGTTCTTGATTGCTATCCGTAAAATGATAGAATATTATTATATATTTTAAACAATTTTAGTAGGTACCACCAAATGAACGAAATTGTCTGTCCTTTAGCACCGGACACTAAGTCGTCCCTTAGCGCCGGAAGTAACATATAGATATTTCTTGTGAGAATTGACGTGATTTATTCTATTTATTTAATTTAGTTTTGTATGAGTGCTAACGGTCACTACATACTCCCATTTTTCGTATTTTCTAGTCAAAGAATGAAAATTTTATGATGAATGCTGCAGTAGAGCATCGGTGTGGCCCAGCCAAAAGGGTGGATAATTAGTGATTTTTTTTTGCAATATCTAAGAATATTTGTCAAACACAAATGTGCAGACATTCCAGAGTGTGGAGATGGCTACATATGTGTTTAATGCTGGTTATTTTGAAATGTCCGGTACTAGGTGCCATTTTATAAAATCCTATTTTTTGTTACCAAAGTTTGATTGATAGTAATAATTATTGTTTAGCAAAGATTGCGTTTTTGTTAATTTAGTTTGATTCACACTTTATTATCTAACATAAGTCATAATTTAATAAACATTTTGTAAATTATTTTTTGATTTATTTATAAAAAAACCTTAGGTGTGCGGCACTCAAAGACTTCTCCCTACATATTTTCGTGCTATTATGTCTATGCATGCCAAGACTTTTACATGTCAAATATTTCATTTGATCTCATTAAGAAGCGTTATGACATGTTTTCAACTTTGGCAATGATTTATAGTACATCAAAGTATTTCTTTGTGATAAAAAAAATGGATATAGCGACAACGATAGATATTTATATAGGCATCAATTCGCCGTCAAAGTTCGACATATAAATATCATATACCATAAATATAATTAGTTTATTTGATGGTTAGAAAAATGTTGAATATGTGAATTCAAATAAACTTCAAAGGAACTAACGGTAACGGTATTACTAATAATATTAGTTCCAAATTTATATTCACGATTCTAAAACTATGAGTGTTATTTGAAATTAGGTACAACGAATACCGCCAATTTGTATATTGACTTATATACATATAAATATTTGCATAATAGGTTTTGTACCCATTTTAGTTGCAAATTATTATCCAATGCGACTTTTTGCCTTATTCATTGTTTGGCAACTAAGTTCTAATATATCAATAAATTACTGACGAGATGATCCAAGCGTTGGGAATAAATTAGCATTTCACTAAAAATATATTTATATACTTTTTATATAATTAAAAATTTATTGTTCTTTGCCGTATAATTATTGTGCATTCGGATGAATAAATATTGCTTATCCAGCTTATCAAGATAACGTCCGAAGTTAAAATAATGAAAGCGTACTTATTCCTATATGACTTAAGATTTGATTAAAATTTATTTGTTTCTTTTGATTTTTATTGAAATTTCAATTTAATACGGTATACTTCTTGGCTCTTCAATACAATAATGTTATTAAAGTTAATTATCAAAGCTGTATCTAAGGACTTTATCCTGGTAGCAGTAACCGTTATTCATAAAATTATACAAATAAAAATAATTTATTAACGTATTCTGTTGCAACATATTTCGTTCGACGCAAACAATGACATTATGCTAATCGAGAATAGTTTTGATTAATTTGCACGTTTAATGTATAGTAAGCAAAAGTTGCTGTAGAATCAATCCGGAATCGGTTCTGGTAATATGGGAAAATTATCGGTGTACAAATAACGCGTTTGTACCACACCATATTAAATTGCTGGCATTGAAGATAAAACAAGTTTATTGACGTACTTCTCATTTTACAATTATTTGCTTCCGATGTCTTTGAAAACAAAACGATATTTATTCAATTGGTGAATGAACTGCTTTCTTTCCATAATTAAATGAATTGAAATGGAATGCGTATATTAATTTTTTTTTTATTCATAATATTTTTCACAAAGTAATTTAGCACATGTTGTGTTTCAATCTATGTACTCAGAATTTTATTAGCATCAGTATAACAGAGTGCAAATGTTTTCTATTACCTAAATTGATATTATGCACTAACACGATTCCAAGCAATTAATTTCAAAGATTGCATTAAAGATACTGGTAAGATTAATTTCCAATGTTAACTTGAGATGGATATATGACATCATATATTATCCTCTGTCAAAAACTCTGACGTCAATGGTGAACGTGTTTCGTAAGAAGAAGGTCTGTGCGTACATAAGATATGAAAACTGCAATTTGTTTTGTTCTTGATATTTATTTTAGTCATATGTAACACAAATGTACAGGTCGCAATTCATGGCTTTCTGAAATTCAAATGTGAAATTGTGGTCAAAAGCAAGGTCTTAATTATAGTTGACTCTGGACCTTCAATATTTTTAGGCACTCGTTTGGTAAGGATTTGTCGTTAGTTATTGATCGTCTTTTCGATTCTATATCAATATATCTCTTTTAATCGATAAAACAGCATATTTTGAAAATTATTGCATATAATAATTTGCAATTTTTACTCATAAAATAATTAAAAATTATGACACAAAATTAGGAAAAAGGAATTCTGATAAATAGTTATAAAACTTTTAAACAATGCAACATTGTTGATATGCAAGTCCATTTCTTAGACTTTCATAGAAATGCCACAATCAGTAGCAATCAGTACTTCAGTCTAATGAGCTGTTATGATATTTCTTAATTTAGAAAATCCTATTATTTTCTTGCTATTCAATTTCAATTGATATTTAATATATTTTTTATTATTTTTTTTTTAAACGTGACATAATTTTATGTTAATGCAGCAATGTCGAAAAGGGCCTTTTTTACTAGGTAACATATTTTTATCAAAACTACTCATTTTCTCAAACTTTGATGAATTTTTGAAATTAAACTACTTGTCGCAAGGCCGTAATATCTCAGTAAGTTCTATAAGACCATGATATATATCGCCAAAAAAAATTCCATAAAAATAATCTTCAATTATTTTCAACAGGTAATTACATAAAAACGGCTCGGTAGATTTTCACCTAAAACTAATCAGTATCATTCCCAACTAATATCTTTCGAACAGCTTTTGATTTTTCAAAATGGATTCGGTTGTTTGAGCTTAAATGTGCACGAAAAGACACTTTTTTTCAAATTACAAAGAAACGGCTTGGCAGATCGTCGAACAAAACTGACAAACAATAGTCCTCATTGAGATACATCAAATGGCTCTGAATTTCTGAAATCGGTTCAGGCGTTTTTGAGCAAACGATGAAAGGTGTAATTTTGACAAATGCCAAAAAAACTTTAATAATTTTTGCAAACTTTAAAGAATTTTTAAAATTAAACGACTTGTCGTAGGGTCGTAATATTTTAGTATGATCTATAAGACTATGGTATCTACCGTCAACAAAATCATAGAAATCGTCGAAAAATTTTTTTTAACACTTCATTTAAGGAAACGACCCGGCCGATCTTTACCAAAAACTAATCAAGTCGATTCGAACCAATATCTTTCGAACGGTTTTTGAATTTCCAAAATCGATTCAGAATTGCGGGCTAAAACGTGGACGAAAACTTTTTCATTTTTCTGCGGTTTACAAAGAAACGGCTTGGCTGATCGCATGGCTTTTAAATTTTTGAAATCGGTCTAGTCGTTTTAGAGAAAACGTCGATTTACGGCAAAAAATCTGTTCACATACACACACACGTACACATACTTTTGGTCCAAATTTAGTCTCATTCGATTCAGAATGGCTTGAAACGTCGAGAAAACATAAAATTAGCGAATCGAATTTTTTGATGAAAACAAACTTCTCCTTCGGAAAGTTGAAAATTACAATAAGAAATGAGAACTCTCAATAATTTAATGTAGAGTTAGAAGTATTGAAACTTCTATGGGCGACATTTAT